GAATTTCGTCTTATACATTATCGAGGAAAAAGACGTGCCCGCTCCTCCTCTTTCGATTGGTGAAAACCGCAGGTAGCTAGGTATTGCGGTTGTCGAGTTATTGAGCTTGCACTCACCCCTCTTTTATTCTGGCGCGGACATTACTTAATATACTCATTGATTCTCTATTAGGTAGAAATTTTGACTCACATAGATAAATTTTGAACATGGTTCATATGAATATTGAAATATGGAGAAGGTTAGAGCTAAATGGCACAACTTTCCATTGTATTTTTGAGCCAGGGTTAGGTTCCATTCAAATTTTACAATCTCAGACCCCTATTTCTTATGAATCTTCATTAAATCTTTATTTGAATTAATAGTTTATGCATTTGGTACTGCTTTGCAGGATAACACAATGCTAAACAGTAAGTTTCAATGTCTGTTAGAAATCGTTTTAGTCATAGAAAGTAAATAATAAGCAACAATGTGAAGATATCAATAAGATGTGTGCTGAGATGTAAATCAGTAAACACAGTTCTAGAAATATGCTGTGATCTAAATTCGAAATATGACTTTTTATGCGAGCCAAAGAAACAAATTCATCCTAAGTTTAAAAACACTGGTCATCGAATATTCACCACTGTTGTTAATAAATAATCCGATGACTTCCCATTTCAGATAGAATAAGATGCCTATAACATCAAATTTTTCACGGTGAAGTTTATGAATTGTGTAGAGTATCTATAAGAAATTACAGTTTATTAAAGCCATGGACGTTTCTAGAAAATGGATGTGTTTACATTTTCCTCTACGAACAAGAACTATACACATGATATAAACATATAATTTACTCTATATATCACTTTATTATATTTCATTAATAGAGAAAACTTTTGTTTTACCATCCTGTATTGTTAATACTTGTTTACTAAATTCATCATAAATATTTTCTTGATCAGGTTCCACAACAAATTTCATTGTCCAAGATAAATTTCTCGTAATAAGATGTCTTTTCATTTCTAGAACCATTGTTTTAACTACAATATTTATTGAACAGCCATGTTTTCCACATCCAATGGCTGGAAATGCAATTGATGTAAAGTTATGTGATTTAACATTTTGTACAACAGTATACATGAGATCAACAAGAGATTGTCGAAGTATTTCTTCATCAGGATCAGAATCCCATTTTACGATAAATATTTGTTTGCAGGTTAGAGCTCCTGGTGGTGTTGCAATTAACACAGAATTTGGATGGTTTTCTAATTCATTATCGTACACTTTTTGGATTTTTTCTCCAGCTGCTTTTATTATTGCATCTGTTAAGAATCCTAATGATGAAATGCCAATAATAACATCCACCTATCAATGTTAGATATCGGAATAATTATGTCTCTTCAAAAAGAAAACTGTTTTATTATCTTATTACCCTTTGCATTGTTATATCTCCTACTATAACTTCGATTATTCTCTTATTAAATGTGGCCTGTATTGTTCTCAATTTATCAAATGATAATGGTTGTCTTAATAAATCAATTTGTTTTTTATATTCATCATAGATATCTGTTCTTTCTGATTGTATTACAAATGAAATTGACAAGTCATGCATTTGTAACTTACGATAAACTTCGTCAACCATTGCACGTACAACAAGATTAATTGAACATTAAATTTTACCACATTTAATAGCTGGAAATGCAATAGTTCGACACTTTTCCTGCACTGCTTTTTCTAATGCATCCGAAGCAAATTTTTCAATGGATTTACAAAGAATCGATGTATCAGTATTTGTTTTCCATTCGAGAAAGTAAATTCTTTTTAATGCAAGTCGTCCATCAGCTTTAACGGTAATAACTGAAACTTCAGGCCGTTTATTAAGTTGTGCTTTGTATGAAGCTAATACAAAGTCTCCACCGGCTTCACATATACTATCAAATAAATATTTTGACGACGAGTTTACAACAATAACATCAGTCTAAATGAATGGAAAACAAATTTTTCATATGATTTATCTCTTTTTCTAACATTCTAATTACTTTTTGTGTTATCAGATCGTCTTTGCAAATACTAATTGGTAGAGATGAACTTCAAATGATATTTGAAGTCTACAACGAAAACGAATGATTGTAAATTGTTTTTACTTAAAAGAATTGAACTATAAGAAAAATACTAACGATTAAGGAATAACTGATTCATACTTCGATAGATCATTATATTTTCGACAGTTAAGTTTAAAACATTTTCTTTGGAATTGCTTAGCACTATCATCATCATCCCCATGATGCTATATAAAATGTCTATCGAATGACTTTTAAACTTGATACTCATATATATCCAGCTATAATATATAACTTGCTTAAGGATAAGTCACTGGCAGTTTAAAAGATTAATCTTGAACTTTGATGTTATTTTGCCACATTCTTTTTATGTTTATTGACTAAAAGTTTCAAAAGCAAACTTCGAACCATATGATAACAGGAAAGTACCGATAATCTAAATATTTTAGTCTTCAAGCAAAGCAACCAACCTTTGTAAATTGAAATGATTATTTTGATTCTATATAAAATAATTGTGACGAAGAATGTTATAATATCTATAACTCGTATATCGTGGTTTACAACATAAATATTCGAATACTCACTTCATGAATTTCTCGTACTCAAATGCCACTATATTAATGAATTGGAGTCAATATAATGTAACGAGTCGAGTATCTATTTTGCTGGAAATCGTAGCTTCTAACTCGTCGTTACTCAGCATGTGAATATTATGACATGTCTCGCTGTAGTTATCAAGGCATTCGTAAAAAATGATATAGGTCTTGTTAAAGAGTTTTGATAGGCATGTACTGAGAGATACAGCCATGCCATTTTGGTAAAACGATTAAAATTCATACTTAACTTTTAAAAATTCGATTACTATGAATGAATATTGAAAATAAATTGTTTTAAAAGATTTTTTTATAAAAAATGATCTTTTTTTTACAAAGCATGCTGCAATTTGTAGAGGTTGTTAGTTTCTTGACAATAAAAGCTGTTTAAGATTCTGATAGTTGCTGCAATTTGTAGAGGGCACAAGTTTCTGATAACACAGAGTTTTTGATATTTCGTGCAATTTGTAGAGGACGTAAGTTTTTTGATCAGAGAGATTTTTTTTTAATTTAGTACTATTGCTATAATTTGTAGAGGACTTCAGGTTTTAGTTGAATTTAAGTTTTTCTTTGAATCTAGCGCAGAAGAGTTTTAACGGAAGTCTAAAGTAGAATGTACTGTCTGTTTTTTTTCTTTTGTTATTAATAAATTAATACTTATAGTGCACGAGCAAGGGTCGTCGATTTTGAACGAACTAAGAACGATTTTAGTTGAACACAAAACGAGTTTTTAATGAGATAGTATCATAGTTTGCGGTGATAACGTTATATTTCTTCCGAATGAGAAGTGAGCGGATCGAATTGTGCTCGTCAAGAGAAGACTCATTAACATCTATTTCTGAGCTCTCATTTTTAGACTGTCATTATCTGTATGTTTGCTTTTTGTGTATACGTGCTTTTGCATCCTAATCAGTGATCTCCACTCAATGCTCGATTCCATTTTACTATCATAATTATATAGTCTACTCAAAATCAAAAACAGCTGATGATATTTATAGTAACAATTATGTTTGATGAACTCTATAAATTGCAGTCAATTGGGAACAAAAAAACACTACTATATTTTAGTGCACTCTACAAATTTCAGCTCATTAAATTGAAATAGTGAAACTTGATATCTAGTGAACTCTATAAATTGCAGTAATTAGAAAGAAATGAAGCACTATTGTAGTTTAGCGCTCTCTA